GTGGTGTGGGGACAATGGGAATGAGGTGGAAACAGTGGGACAGTGGAGGGTACAATGGTGGTGGGGACAGTGGTGAAGGCGGTGGCGAGGACGGCGGTGGGACAATGGGACAGAGGTACAGTGGGGACAGTGGTGGGGACAGTGGGGACAGTGGTGGGAACAGTGGGACAGCTCAGTGGGACAGCGGAGGAGTCAGTGGGACAGTGGGGACAGTGGGGATAGTCGGGCAGTGGTTGGGGCCGTGGAGACAGTGGGGAGAGTGGAACCGTGGTGGGAACAGTTCTGGGGACAGCGGGGACAGTGCGACAGTGGTGGGGCCACTGGTGGGGACAGTCGGGGCGGTGGTGGAACCAGTGGGGACAGCGGTGGTGAGGACAGTGGTGCTGGGAACACCAGTGGGGGATGTGATGCGGACGGTGGTGGGGACCGGGAGTCGTTTGCTGGCGGTGAGTAGGGGGGGGGGGGGGGGGGTTCGACCCGTAGTGACCCCCCCGGTTTCCGGCTCCGGAGGGTATGGGGGGGGGGGGAAGGGTTTAAAAACCCGTTAGTGACCCCCTCGTTTTCCGGATCCGGAGGGAGGTGGGGGGGGAGGGGTTCGAAACCGGGTCGTAGTGACCCCCCCGGTTTTCGAGCGGGAGGGCGGTGGGGGCGGGGAGGGGTTAGGGGAGGGGGTTTTGCGGGGGAGAGGGGGTGGGGGGGGGAGGGAGGGGTTCCAAGCAGAGTGGGGGGGGGGGGGATTTTCGGAGGGGGGGGGGGGCGACCCCCGGGTTCCGGAGGAAAAGGTTGGCAATTTTCCACAGTAAAGCGGCGGTGGATCACGCTCTCTCACATATACATGTATATATATATATATATATGTATGTACATCTACATATACGTTTACATTGGCATGTGCACATACATGGACTTAGACGTAGACATATACATATACATAAACATATACATGTACGTACACATCTACATATTTATACAAGCATACGCATACACATACAAATATACTTGCACCTATATATATATAATAAACATATACATATACAAATATATGAAAAAATCAATACGTATGCATATACATATATCTATGTGTGTACAGATACCTATACATATAAACACACATATCGTTTTCGCGGAGGGCTCTCCAGAGCAACGCAAGAACATACTGGAGAACTTCCTGCTCCGATGACGGGCGCGCTTTGAGGTTCCCGGAAAACTCTCTGGGAAGCTGAAAACGCATCCGCGCGGGAACCCTCGTGGAGGATTATGTGAGCCTTTGATGGGCGTTCTGGGGCCGTTGGGTTTTGGAACCTTGTGGGCCTTCTTTACGGCCCTTGGCGTGTCCAAGCTCCTTTGGAGAGCCGCCTGTAGCGCTCTTAGGCGCTCTTAGGCGCCTCTTGGGCCAATTTGGCGCCGCCTTGGGGCGCGTTGGGGCCTTCGTTTACTCCTCGTGTGCCGTCTCCGAGCGTCGGGAAGCGGAGCAGGCGACCACTGGAAAACCACAAAAAAATGCTAATCAATGATGTTTGCCTATTGTGGCTCTGTCGGAAAGCAATGTATGTCCCTTCACTTGGGGAGCCACCTGGAACCGCTTGGGCGATTCTGGGCTCGTGGGCCGTCTTGGCGCCCGCTTGGGGTGTCTTGGAGCCCTGTTGGGCGCCGCTTGTGCCATCTCCGCGCATCGAGCAGCGAAGCAGGCGACCACATGAGAACCTTTGAAACACCCAAGGGAAATCAACGAAGTTTGCCCCTTGTCTCTCGGGGATCAGCTGGAAGCTCTCCTGGGGCGTCTTGCAGGCCGCGTGGGCCGTCTCGAAGCAATAGTCGGCGTGCCTGGAGCGCTGTGGTGCTATCTAAACCCCTTGAGGATCTCTTTTGGGTGCCATCTGGGCCCCATCGAGGGCCCGCGGGCGAGGCCCGCCGGACACCACATGACGAAAAGCGATGCAAAGCAAGACCAAGCAACGCACTGGAAAGCAACGCAAAGCGATAGGAAGCAAAGCAATGCAATGCAATGCAAGACAATCAAATGCACAGCAATGCCATACAATGCAGAGCAGCGCAAAGCAATGCAAAGCAATGCAGCGCAAAGCAATGCAAAGCAATGCAAAGCAACGCAAAGCAACGCCAAGCAACGCCATGCAAAGCAACGCATGGCAACGCAAATCAACGCAAAGCAACGCTATGCAGAGCAACGCAAAGCAACAAAAAGCAACGCAAAGCAACGCGAAGCAACGAAAAGCAACGAAAAGCAACGCAAAGCAACACAACGCAATGCAGTGCAATGCCAAGCAATGCAATGCAGAGCAATGCAGAGCAATGCACATCAAAGCAGGGCGAAGCAATGCAAAACAATGCAAAGCAATGCAAAGCAATGCAAAACAATGCAAAGCAAGGCAAAGCAACGCAATGCGACAACGCAACGGAATGCAAAGCCGCGCAGAGCCATGCAAAGCAATGTAAAGCAATGCAAAGCAATGCAAAGCAATGCACAGCAACGCAACACAAAACAAGGTAAAGTGAAGCAAGGTAAAGAAAGTCACAGCAACGCCAAGCAACGAACAGTAACGAAATGAAGATACATGCAAAGCAATGCAAATCAAGGGTAAACCCGAGCAAGCAAGCATTGTAACAGCGGCGACAAACGGCGACGGCGGCGACACCATTGCAGCCAGACCGACGCACAGGCCCAGACGACGGGCGGCGACGAGGCAGCGACGGGGCGGCGACGGCGACAACATAGCCGCCAAACCGACGCACAGGCCAGGACGACTGGCGGCGACGACACGGCGGCGACGGCGACAACATACCCGCCAGACCGCCCCGCAGGCCCAGCTCCTGTTTAATAATCATTATTTGTTCTTATATATATATATATATATCTATACATATATATACACATAAAGACAAAAATGGGGAAAAGGGAAAACAAACAAAAAAAACAATTAGCCTGGCGAAAGACCCAACCATATGCAGTTGTGAATACCGGAAATATGAATATCGTTTTCGGTGGCGCTACCTCTGGGACCACGAACCGTGTATGGGGCGTGCCGAAATGTGCGGCGGGGTCCACAACCCGAACGAAGACGACAGGTCTAAGTACGAAAGATTGAGCGCACGTGAGTCTCATTGCGAGTGAGTCTGAGTGTGAACGAGTCTGCGCGCGACGCAAGGGGGGGCCCGGCCCCGGACGCAAGGGTTCCCCCCTGCGCCTGGCCGCTGTCGTCCTCCTCAACTCCTGTTCCTCCTCTTCCTCGTCATCTGCGGGCCCCATAGGGAAGGGGGCTCCCGCCTCAGCCTTCCTAGCAAATCACTTACAAACGAATATCCCGCCTGAGACTTCCCCCATATTCAAGCCTCAGGAGCTCAAAAGTGACGACGGTTACAGGATTCCGACGGTCCGCTCGGATTAGTAACATGATCTGCGGGCCCAGGCCGCAGCCATTGGGGCCACGAAACGCTGTGCTGGGTGGGGGAGACGCATGCGGACACCGCCACTGGGGCCTTAGGTGGAGCTCCCTAGGAGGCCACGAAACGCTGTGTTGGGTGGGGGACGCATGTGGACACCTCAAATGCGACCTTCGGTGGAGCTCTCTATGGGGCCACGAAGCGCTGTCCTGGGTGGGGGAGACGCATGTTCACACCGTCACTGGGCCCTTCGGTGGAGCTCCCGATGGGGCCACGAAACGCTGTCCTGGGTGGGGGAACCGCATGCGAACACCCCGATTGAGGCCTTCGGTGGAGCTCCCTATGGGGCCACGAAACGCTGTCCTGGGCAGGGGAGACGAATGCGAACACCCCCACTGGGGCCTTCGGTGGAGCTCCCTATGGGGCTACGAAACGCTGCCCTGGGTGGGGGAACCGCATGCGGGCACCCCCATTGGGGCCTACGGTGGAGCTCCCTATGGGGCCACGAAACGCTGCCCTGGGTGGGGGAACCGCATGCGGGCACCCCCACTGGGGCCTTCGGTGGAGCTCCCTATGGGGCTACGAAACGCTGCCCTGAGTGGGGGAACTGCATGCGGACACCGCCACTGGGGCCTTCGGTGGAGCTCCCTATGGAGCTACGAAACGCTGCGCTGGGTGGGGGAACCGCATGCGGGTCACCCCCCATGGGGCTTACGGTGCTGTGGAGTCTAGGGGCCACGAAGCGCTGTCTGGGTGGGGGAACCGCATGCGGGCACCAGACTGGGGCCTTCGGTGGAGCTCCCTATGGGGCCACGAAACGCTGCCCTGGGTGGAGGAACCGCATGCGGGCACCCCCACTAGGGCCTTCGGTGGAGCTCCCTATGGGGCCACGAAACCCGGCCTCGGTGGGGGAGCCGCATGCGGGCACCCCCACTGGGGCCTTCGGTGGAGCTCCCTATGAGGCTACGAAACGCTGCCCTGGGTGGGGGAACCGCATGCGGGCACCCCCACTGGGGCCTTCGGTGGAGCTCCCTATGGGGCCACGAAGCGCTGCCCTGGGTGGGGGAATCGCATGCGGGCACCCCCACTGGAGCCTTCGGTGGAGCTCTCTATGGGGCCACGAAACGCTGCCCCGAGTGAGGGAATCGCATGCGAACACCCCCGCCCCCTTGCATGATGATGGAGATAAGGTTGACGATGGTGGTGATGATAACGTCGATGATGATGATGATGATGATGATGATGATGATGATGATGATGATGATGCTGATGATGATGATGATGATGGTGATGATGATGATGATGATGAATGATGATGAATGATGATGATGATGATGATGATGATGATGATGATGATGATGATGATGATGATGATGATGATGTTGATGATGATGATGATGATGATGATGATGATGATGATGATGATGAT